AACGCTCTCAATTTCCCGGACGTATCTTTATTTTCAAGGATTTTAAATTAAGGTGCGGGAGGAATTTTTGAAAATCAACGTGAATGCTTGGAAATTGAAAATTTGGATACTAATATTTAAAAATTATTAATTTCTTTTCTAAACAAAAGCTAAAAATCTGCTTCAAAAGAGACAGTTTCAAGGTTTGAATGAAAAGAATAAGCATTTTCTAAACCTTATCGAAATCTGTAAATGGCTGCTTAGAATATCTGAATATATGGACTGTGTTTCTTGTTTTAAATGGTGAACTTGGATAACATTTCGTGCACATAAACTCAATTCTTTACCAAAGAATAAGGAAATGGACATCATCATAGATTTTTATCAATGAAACTCTATGGTCTTGAAATTAAATTTCAGTTTAAAAATATTAATAAACTTAAAATAGAAAAAAAAAATTGAAATATTTCAGATTTTAAATTACGTCCAAAGGGACTTTTCTTTTTAACGTTTTGTGTGTTACCTTTATTTATTAAATATCATGTTCTTTGCACTTAAACCGTAAAATTCAGTTCAATAGCAATGTCGCAAAATAATTTTAAAATGAGCCTACCTTTAGAATTTCCGATACACAGTTCGAAGCGCTGAAGATAAAAAGGTTTCCCTCCCCCTCGTAGAGTATTGCCATTGCTCGCTTTGAAATCGTTGAGTTTGTTACTCAAAAATTCGTTAAAATTTTGCAAAATATGAAATCGATAATAAAACAAATTCCAGATTTCAAATTTGGGATTTCAGATGCCCCTATCCGCAGTAGGATTACATCATTCAAAATTGGATGGCTCTAGATACCGTTGTTTTATCACAATGCGAGAAATAGACAAACATTTATGCAGATTTTTCATTATTTAACTTCTTCAAGTATAATGCAGGACTCTAACATTTTGTGGCAACAGTTTGAAAAGTGAACTCACATTTATAGGAGTCCAACGCAAAATGCCAAAACGAAACTAATAGTTCTTCGGGACTCAAATCCCTTTGGACTAAAAAACTCTAAACTCAATGGCAACAGCCCCAACATCTGTTTTCCTGACGGTGCGCCCGGGATTCTTGAGCATATGCCCTGAACAAGAGGTCAGCTTTTCGCAGGACCCCCGGTGTTTAAATCCCCAAGTGAACTTGGTACTCATTTTACCACCCACTCAAGGTATGTAGGCCTGAAGCTTGCCCAGCCCGGCGATCGAACCCCGGACCTGTGGTGGTACTCCGCGACGCGCTAGCCACTGCGCCACAGGGCCGATATTAATAAACAGATTAATGAATGTTAAGGGGAAGAAATTAAAAGTATTTTTAAAAATAAAATCTAAAAGATTTCAGATTTTATATTAAGTCCAAACGGGCGTTATTTTAATTTATTGATAAATATACGTTTCGACAGCATTTGGGCTAACGCAACATTGTGCTAAAAATATTTAAAAACAGTTTATCTATCTTTAGATTTTTCGATGGATAATCTCACGCCCTGGAGATAAAAATGTTTTATTTCTTACCGTGTTACCACTATTCACTTTGAAATTGTTGAGTTTTTTAATCAAAGATTCGTTTAAGTTTAACAAAGTATGAAATAGACGATAAAACAAATTCGAAATTCCTGATTCGGGCTTCCAGGTGCCCGTGTTCGGTATGGAGGACATTGTTATTCAAAATTTGATAATTCTAAGTAGCGTTGCCTTTTCACCATGCGAAAAGCATACATACATTCATGGAGATTCTTCATTATTTAGCTTCTTTAAACATAATACAGAGTGATAATATTCGGTGGCAACAGTTTGAAAAAAGATTCAGACATTTAAAGTGATTCAACGCAAAATGCCGTTTTGAGACTAATTATTGTGCATTGATAATTAAGACTAATTATTGTGCACAAATTTGAAACTCGTTAGAAGAAAACTTTATCCTTTTTTTTAAAGTAAGATACCTTACTTAAATGACAAAAGCGTCTCACGGAGCTAAACAGAATACTTAAATTCAGCATTTTGTAAACATTATGATTAGCGGATATACACACAGTACAAATAAATGTAGAAAGAATAGAAATTCAAATCATATATTTGTAAGCATAAAAATTTTAATAAAATAAGAGAAATGAAATGAAAAATAGGAGATTTAAAAAAAATTGACGTGTTAGTCAACCGTATCAAAGCACATAAAGGCTACCAACCTAATCTTTATTCTGACCTAATCTATATTCAACGTAATATATACTCTGACGGAGAACACTCTGGGAGATTAGGTCTTGAAGATTTCGTAGCACTCTTCTTTCCCTACCAGGCAATTCTCGAGAGATATTTGGAATAAACACATTTTAAAATTTTCCAAAAAGATTTTACTCGCCAAAGCAAATATCTGTGCTGTACCTGGGATTCAAACTTGAGGCATCCATATGGTAGCCAGTTTATCCTTATAAGTTATGACAACAGTCAAAGAAAATAATAATATCAAAGTAATAAAATAAAGATAACATATGAATTATGCACCAAAATCTACGAAGTATTAAATTTACAGTTACAATGAACTATTGCGAATACAAAATCTTCCAATCAAATAATTTAAATCATTACATGAAACTAAAAAAGGTCATTGTTTTAAATATTTCTTACCAATAATACATATTTATCATTACCACTAAATTACAGAAATTCTGGTTTATTAAAATTTCATGCCGCAATTCTCAAGAAGACATTGCAGCTAAAACTCTCTGCAGTGCTGAACTCAAGATACATATAATAAACAGATTATCGATATGAAATCAATTGAGAATGAAACCTGAGATAAGATATTAAATGAAAATACAGACTAATAGGGAGTAAAAATACAGTAAAAAAGAGCAGCTATCATCATGTAGAAACTTTCGCAGCTTAAATATGAAGTACATAAAGTTACAACTGATTTACGTTTAAATGAGCACTTATGCACCTTTGCATATTACTCCACATAAATGCCAAGATTTCTTGCTTAGGTATTTATTAAAATTACATGACCTATATTCAAGAAGAAGCGGGAAAATTTAGCTACAAGACAAACTCCAGATAACTTAACTGAAGATAAATATGGGAAAAATCTGAAAACTAATTTCGGCAGAATTTGAATTATCATTCTATTTTAACACTATAACGTATTTCTCCCGCCTTCTTAGCATACCTTCGTGGTGTAATGGTCAGCACGCTCGGCCCGAATTCGAGAGGTCCGAGTTTCGAGTCCCGGTGAGGGCATTGCTCATTTTTCATGTCTCCCGCTTCGAAATAACCTAATGTCTTTACACACATTTCAGGAATAATCTATTGTTGGGTGCTGTTGAAAGCTAATTACCCAATTAGTAGAGTTCTCCATTTTAATCAAGTAGCAGAAAACAGTTTTCTCTTTCTTTTTACTTTTTTGTACGAAAAAGAGGCAGTATGGTAAACGCGAAAAATTTCGGGTATTATATTTCAACAAAAATAACCATTTTGACCGCTCTCAAATCCATTTAAACGATGTTTTTGCGTGACAACTATGCCTAAGGACAGAATAAATAACTCTCTTTTTTAAAATGGATTTAAAATGGATAAAGAAGAGACGGCCGTAAGTATGTATTTACGTACGTATGCATGTATCTCGCATAACTCAAAAACGTGTAGCCTCAGAAAATTTAAATTTTGAATACGGGATTGTTATAATATGTAGTTGTGCATTTCCCATTTTGGCCAATCGGTCTATATATTTATACCCACTCTTTTACCCGGCTCGCTGAACTCAGTTTTTTATTCTTATATGCTGGTAAATTTTGAATTTTTTGCTGTAAAAGTGATAGAATTATGTTTTTGTGCTCCGGTTAAGGTTTTCATGCCTTTAGTTAATCTGCATGCAATAAATGTACAGAAATAAATAATGGAAATGTTTAAATGGTACTAATGCTAACAAGGCCACCATTTGTTGACATTTAAAACTCTTAGTAAAATAGTGAATTAAGACAGTTTGCACACTAACTTCAGTGTCTTTTTGCCGACTGGGACAAAAAGTAAACTTTCAATTCTGTGCACCGAAAAAGCTGTCAGCTCGCTGGACGAATTGATTGTTTTTGCGTAGAAACTCTAACTTTAATTGTTAAAAATTGTATTTTTTACTGTTTTTAACTCCCTGACCTCGAAGTCAGAACTGAATTAACTGAATGAGAAATATACCTCTAATGAAATTCGAGGAAATACGTTTACATGAAATGGAGTAAAAAAAGTATATGATTTAATAGGCCGTGAAAAGAAGTCATGGGATGTTCACACCACATATTTTTCTTCAGAATGACTTTTTTATTAATATTATTTAGTTTCAATGTTTTAAGCTAATTTCTTATTTTACATTTTATATTATTCCTTATCTTCTGTATACCATTTTTCTATACTATTATCGTAAAATTCTTGAAAAATTTTATGTCTGAAGAAATTTAGAAGAAAAGAAATTTAAAATATAATTTACGGAGTTGAACATTGGAACTTCGATGTGCTTTCTCATTACGTTTTGCATCACAGGAGAACGGATTTAAATTCCTTACAGCAGAAACTAAACTTTTCAAATTAAATATTTATATTATAGAAAAACAATACTTGATGTAGAACATATTTTGCAAGCAAGACATTCCAAAATACATAACTTACATTAATAATGTATGTTATTCAAATAAGTAGCAAAATATATTATACAAATAAGACATTGAAAATGCATATATATATACCAATACAGCATTTTTAACATTTATATTACTTGAAAAGCAGCTGAAAATTACTTACACATACGCATACTTATGGCAACATACAACATGCTGAAGAGAACTGCTCTGCCACAAACAAGATAGTTTGCAACAAAGAATGCAGGAAAGAACATATCACAGTTATCATTACAGTCTATGCTATAGAGAGCGCTAAGCTACATTTGTTACATATCACAATCGCCATGACTACCTACAGATGACATCCACTGTTAAATATAATTACCTCTCTCACTTTCAGTGCTTTGACGACCCGCTGCCTGTTCAATGATGTCATTGACAACCATTAAATCTGGAAGAAAATATATTACACCTATGAATATTTAGATTCTAAACAAAAAGCAAGTTTTAAAAACTACGTAAGTCAAAATTCATTCATATCCATCACAATTAAGAATTCATAAATCGCTGTTTCTTATTCCATTAAACAAAAATGAAATCAGACACATTGTTATTGTTACTTTTCATTCGTAATATACAAGATTAATCTGAATAAGAGGTCAAAACTTAAGGGCGTGATAGAAAGCAGCTATACGAGCAATATTCGTCATAGAATGTATGGTCGCAAAGCAAGCAGTGAGAAGTTACAGGGTAGTTTTCCACTGTGATATTTAAAGAATTAAGAATGAGAGGAGATACTTCAGAAAACATTTTATTAATAAAACTTGCTTATAGAAATTGTTCAAAAGACCTTCCGCCAGCTGTAATGCAGGCTTCACACCTGCGGGATTAGGGATGGACGAACAGTTGCGAAGACACCAAGCATTTTCCGAATATCGCTGGCAACAACGGCGATCCTGGCGACTAGATCCATATTGGTTTCAATGGGGCACTCCTAAATTATGCTTTTCATATGGCCCACAGGAAATGTGCAAACGCGAGATATCCGGTGATCTATCTTGATGGTCAAGCTATGGGACCACCTCGACCGATCTATTGTTCTACAAATTTAGTGGTTCGTATAACCAGCTCTTGGCCACCCACGGTAGGAAATGACGTTGGGTGAATTAAGGTACAAGTCTTCGGCCTAGAGGCCTTTTCTCAAAAATTTTTAACGCTTCTGGGTAAGTCATAGTGGATCTTTAAGTTCTTGAAAATAGTATTCTTCCTTAGTGAAGATACAAAAGTGGCGCCATCTAGTTTTCGTGTAAGAAGCAATTGGAGATTTTCAAGACTATTGTGTCACCATCTGGTGGCAGATGAATTGGTCGAAAGTTGCAATTATTTTATGAAGCAATAGGCATGGTATAGTGATGAATATTTTTATGAAGATGATGATGAGGCATAATTGTAGATGGAAGAAAGTGTTGGGTGAGAGGACTGACCCTTTTTATACCATTTACAATGCCACCTAGCGGCTCGCCGTTTAGTTCCGACCATACATTATTTGAGGAATATTCCTCGTATAACGTATTAATCAACTACTATAATTCAACGTTACTATCTTCTTCATCTAATAACTGCATCATTATCTTCAGATACTATGGCATGACAGCGGTATCTTCACACACATGAAATTTTATTACCGCTAACCGAACTGAAAGATCTCCGAAAATCTATTAATCACTACTGTAACTCAACGGCAGAAATGAAAAGCCTTAGGGTTCTCATACTCTAATAATACATACAAATATCGAACGACAAAATCACCCTTTTTGCGTTGTATGAAAAGTGCGCGCTATACGCCATAATATACGGTACTTTATTTTCGACCGCGATATTTTGTTGTTGTTGTCTTGGCCATATATTTCATGGAAGAATGGTTGCCAGAGCCTCAAGGAAGTTGGCCTTTCACCCAAATTCATGGAGGTAGGAAGTAAGATGGAGTCGCCCTAAACAAGTTTCTCCGTACCCTGCTCTGAAGCACTAGCGATCCCTACGTGGTGACCAAAACATTGGGTCATTTACCATTGAGTTCTATGGGATTTGACGCGTTCGGGTGTAAATATTTTGTAATTACGTCGCAAATATACATATAAATGTATATGTTTTCTTTTTTTACAACACTTCAGAGTCCTAAGTATGTGAAAACAACATATTTTTAAACAACATTTCATTCTGAACGGAATTAAATGCTATAATTTTCACAGGACAGTTTTCTCAGAATGGTTTAATTTGAATGAAATATTTTCACAAGTTTTCGTTAATTACATTAGAAAAAAAAATTAAGGTAATTCGATTTTATTCGGTTAAGGTACAAAAATTAAGATCAAGGTTTATTGTATTATTAATATTAAAATTATGCATTATTTCTTTTCTATTTATAGAGCTCCTTCCTAAAATACTTTCTTAAATATGACATGATTTTTTGGCTTCTTTTAAATCGAAAAATGTAAGTCAATTTATAATTAATGCTCTATTCGGTTCATTTTAAATTAGAGAATTATTAAGAATTAGCGAAATACTTTAAATAAGTATTTCGCTAATTCCTAATAATTAAATAGGTATTAAATAGTACTTGACTTTCTCTGGACATTTCTGAAAGGGAATAAAATAAGTTTTTTTTTTTTTTTTTTTTTTTTTTTTTTTAAAGTATTATTTAAAACTTGTAACTGAGTTATTATAAAATGTAAAGGGAATAATTCTTTTAATTATACTTATCAGATTTTTTTTTTACCCTTCATTTCAACAATACATATTCCAAAACTCTTTATTACGTTCTTAAGTGCGCATCTCATAGCATTTGCTTTACAATACATTTTAACAGATTGCTTTCCAATACGAACAATTCTTGCTTAAATAGTTTTAGAACGTATTTGTCAACAGGATTTCAATTTATGTTTACAATTCAATATTAAGGTTATTATATATTTAGATAACATTTATAATCATTATAAATTAGATACATTTAATCATTAGATTTCTTCACAGTACTTTCACAGTTGTTTATAAGTGAATAAATTCTTCATTTCAAATACATTTATAAATAATTTAATGAATATTTAAGTATTTTGTCAAAGGCAGATACATGCTTTTTGCAAGCACATGCATAAATACCCATACATATTTCCTATTTATCATTTCCGGCATGTGCAAATCTTTAATTTCTGTGCAATCACTATATTTTTCGTGTAAAGTAATTTACACTAATTTAGCATACACCCGAAAGGTGTATGCTAAATTAGTGTAAATTACTCTCTCCTTTCTTCAAACCCCACAAGAGGACTTTCAGCTCGCCATATACTTAGAGTACCCCGCATGCCGCAACGATACTATACATTTACCCCATGCCCATGCCTTCGGTATTGCAGCAGACGACGCTATCCACTATGATGTGGATGTTTTAGAACTGCGATGTTTTCTCTGCGCTTTCCTCTCTCCCAGGATGTTTTGTATGACTATGTTTTCGCCTTCCGTTGTTTTCTCCGTGACGTTCTCGTTCGCGATGTTTCCATCTATAAATTTACAAAAAGCAAAATCGATATTTATTTTTTTCTGTTAAAAGATTGAGGTTTCTGTGTTTCTAGTGAATAATGTTTGGCTCATTTTGATCTCAAATATTTTAATGCCGTGCGTTTCAAAATGTTTTTGAAACGCGGAATAAGTGAATTAATAATTATATTTTACAAAGTTGCTTTTCTTTCAAAAAAGGATAAGAACATAGCTTTTAGCACACGGCTTGTCTATGCGCGAAATTTTGAAAAAAGAATAAATTTTAAAGTAGCAGACATTATTTGTCTTTCCTAATTATATGCTGATGTGATAAATATTTACTCCACCACATTTATATTTTTTTATAATCTTTCATTGAAATTTTACTCCACCACATTTATATTTTTTATAATATTTCATTGAAATTTTACTCCACATATATATTTTTTTATAATCTTTCATTCAAATTTGTCGAAAATATATTAACAACTTCTGTATTTAAAACTTTTGTAAGAGTATACACTATTCATTTCTGGGTTTAAACGCACCTTTCATATCAACAACCGTTTGCCTGTGTAGATCTGAATATGGACTGTCATTTGTCTTTTTAGAAAAAGCACATTCATCAGAGTCTGGTGAATCCTGTAAAAAATAAAAGAATTACAAACTGTACTAATATAAACTTCAAATATAGAATAAATTTGAAAATTTGTCAAAATATGTGTACCATTCCCATGCATAGATAAAAAAATTATTAAAAAAAGTAAATATAACCTAGAGAAACATTTTTAATTGAACAAAAACTTTACATTATGCGATAATTAATAATTTTATTTCATATAATCTAGTACTAGGTTTCTGTAAGTAAGAACTGAAAATAGTATTACAATTTATAAAAATATGAAACAACGAATGGAGAAATTAATACTTTCTAAAATAAAGCACTGCGAAATAAGCACACAGAAGGTGTAAAAGTTACATTTTGCCTTTCAGTGCGCAAGCAGTATACTTAAAACGGAAATTTAGCAAAGCTTCAGAAAGTTTGATAATTGTTTAAACAAATATAAAAGGAGAAAAAATGTAAACTTAAAAAAAAAAAAATTGGAACATTTATGCACTGAAGTCCAATACGTCTTTTAAAAATTAATATATATATATATATATATATATATATATATATATATATATATATATAAAATTAGACAAAATAAATATATAAACTAGTTAACTATTTAAAATAATTTATGAATTTATTGTTTTATATTCTAACGGACAGAAAGCATAATTGACACAGATCATGCAGAAGTGAAAAGCAGTAAGAAAAAATGAGAATAGTAGAATATTTTAGCAAGAAGAAAAAGCTTTTATTTACATACAATGGAAAATAAAATTTACATCTGGTAATTATTAAAAATCAGGTTTTTAATAACACATATCTAATTTCTTTTTTTATTTGCTAAAAATAAATATATGAAGTGGAAAATCCAAACTGGGGGAGAGGGGGATTTAAAAGCATAAAAATAAACTTTCTTTTATTTAAAACAACCCAAATTTTACTGTAATGGGAAGACTATGAGTAATATATTTAAAAATTTATAAGGCTGATACATATATAGCCATTGTATTAATTTCATATATATTCTACTATTTTCTTCTTACATCTATATTTTCATTTGTAAAAAATTAAGAATAACACAACAACCTCAGAATAGAGGCCCGTTAGGTTCCTTGAGCGTGACCTTAGTTGGTCTTCCTTTGTTAAAGCTTTACTATATACATCCACATGAGAAGTATATGATATTCTAGAAAGATGAGATGTGTAGCTAGAATGCCTTGATGTTAAGTTCGTATTATAATATACAGGAATAACTATGGCTCCATCATCCTCTGACATTGGAGTTACAGCTTTGCTATCGTCTGCATATGGCAGGTGCTCCTGAGCGTCTTTGTAGGTGTTCAGGACCAGGGGTTTTCTGTCACCACAGCGACGGCCGTTTCGCTTGCTGACGCTGTATTGACTCCCCCTGCTAGGACGACCAATAAATGGAGAACCAGGAAGACTTAGGCTGGCCTAGAATTGAGAATATTTATCCTTAGGCTAAAATACTTTCTTTTGCTAAAGAGCAGATTTCTTGCTTGCAGCTACTCCAGCACTGATTCCTTATCTTTTGGCTTTCTCAAATGACAAAACTGTCAAATCCTAAACATAATTTTTAATTAAGATACCATTTGAAATTTGCCACCTCCTTCTGATCATTCTTCTTTCTGGAAAGACTGGATAATGATCGTCAGCAATGATTTTGAGCAAAAAGGAGGGCAATTTGCTTCATAAATAGAGTGGGATTTGAGTGCAAAAGCAAGCCACATGAATTAACCAAAAGAAAAGAAAGTCGGGTGAGGTACAATTATCCCCAAACAAATATGCATCCAAATGGCGATTAAAAGTGACAAATGCCAAAATGGCTTAATACTTTCAAAAGAGTTTTTAAACACTCTTCTTTCACATGAAAAAAATTTCTGAAAATGCATGTACTATCTTAAAAAAAAGCAAAATATTAAAATAATAATAATAACTAGTACTGCAAAGTTAAATTAAAAAATGAAGTAAAATTCTGACATGGGTAAAAATATTGTTTGGGGATGAAACATGTGCGGAGTGCTGAGTGCAGTTATCTGCAAAATTATACAGGCGGGTTTAAAGATAAGACATTTGCCATATTCAGCCTTTGAAGCAAAGCAGCAACAGCTAAAAAGAAAAAATATATTATTTATGTAAAACACAAACGTTACATATAAGTGGAAAAATGAAATCAACATAAAAACTTAATAAACATAATTGAAATATTAAAAAAATTCTTATTAAATATTACTAATTTCATTTTTCCACTAAAACCTCTACTCATATACATATGCATATACATAATTGTAATGTAATATCTAAACATGACAAATTGCATTACATTAAAATTACTTTTGAATATAAGGGCCTTTATCACATATACTAATAAAAAATTTTAATATCATTTGTATGCTAGTTATATATATTTACATAATACACACACACGAAGTTATAATATTACGAAAAAGATAATTTATAGAATTTAACTTACATATAGTCAAAAATTCGATTAATATGCTATATATATATATATATATATATATAATACAAATTTATACTGTAAAAATTTAATTAGATCGTTATTGTTGAACTAGGGATAGAAATTATGGGTTTTTAATTTTTATGAATTATAATATCAGAATAAGTTTCTGGATCACAAAACTGGGCATAGATTTTACTTACAAGTGCAGGTGCTTTCTTTCCTATCCCTGGGCATGTCATCTGAAGAAGGGCAAATCAGCAAAATACCGGTGTCTTTTAGTGCATTTCACAACTGTAAGTATACCTGACCCTAATGTTATAGTTACAGCCATCTGCATTTTACACCTTGCAATGTAGCAAAGCAAAACAAAAAATAATATTTGAATTTTAAACCCATTCATTTCTGTTTCACACTTGATATATTTAGAAATGGCTGAAATTTCTTAGCATCAGGTATTTCATTTCTGTTATAAATATCAAAAATATATGTAGTAAGGTTTCAGTTACAAACAATATAAACAAAATAAATTGTATGTAAGCATTTTAATTTACTTGTCTACATATCAATAGCTCGGTTATAAGGATGGAAAACAACATAATAAAATCTTTTGCTGTATGCAAAAGGACAGAAAGGAATGAGTTAGTTTCATATGTTTAAGAATATCAAGGCAAATTAACTGGCACAAAGAAATAAATAAAAACATTTTTTTTTCAATGAAAAATAATAAAAAATGTTTTATACCAGCAACATAATAAGGCATAATAAATAAGTATGACAAAAACAGAATATGAAATTAAAACACAAGGTTGCATAAAATTAGAAACAAAATAGCAAAAAGTGTAAATATAAAAAGTAATAACAAACATAATGAATTTGTCAGGCATGTATATTATGGTAGGGAACATATCAAGCAGGATATAGCAAAGGAAGATGGCTGTCATAAGTACATAGGGCAAGACTGTTCTACACATAAAGCTGCCAGATGTTATGAATGCTTTTCAGAAAGAAGGTATGACTCCTCCCTCCCTTTAAAATGTGAAAAAAAAATGTATATGTAATCTGTTATGCCTACAAAGAAAGGATTTTTCAACACTTATTATTTTAAAATTCGGTTTCAAATTCTGAATTGGATATATAAAGCTTATTTATTATACATCTATGATGTATTTATGCAAATTGACAAAAAATAAATTTAAAATATGAAAATTCGAAATAAAACTCAATCTATAGTAAAGCAAAAATGCAATTACAAAGTTGAAAATTTAGGGAATAACTTAAAATCTTTAAATTCATATTTTGTAATAAATACAATCTTAAATCATGTTAAAACCTAATTATATAATTTTGTAAGAGTTTATTTGTAAGAGTAAACCCTAATTATGAGGTCTGAGGTTGAAATTTTTAAAACTTAATACTGAATTTTATTCCTAACCTAAGAAAAATAAAAACTAATTTTTTAATCAATTCTATTTTTTCTAATAAATATTTTGATTAATTAAATGTAATTTTCTAATTCATTATATTGTTTCTATAAAATAAAAATATTAAAAAAAATCCATTTAAAATAGAGTTAGTCTTACATAAAAATAAAATTACAAGTCAAAATTTATAAACTATAAAAAAGAAACATAAATGAGTATTTATCATACACTTGTGATATAAATAAAGCTGAATTTAAAATATGCCCCCCCCTCCAAAATAATTAGGAAAAATTCCAAACTTTATAAATTTAGTTTGTGTTCCACTCTCAGAACTAATGATGACAAAAACTAAACTGAGGGAACTGTTACTAGAGGAAATTCTGCAGCTTCACTTTCAAGCAGTCTTACTGTAATTCTTAGATTATTTTCATAAAGGAAACATCTGATTCCTATTTTCAGTATCTATTGAACTACATATAAGTAATATTCATTGATGATATCATATCCAACTTCCAGCACAAAGTGCGTTCAATTAATGATGGTGGAATGGAGAATATTGGGTATTGTCGTAACTGGTGATCTACTGAATTTTGTTACTTAGTTATTAGTTTTGTAAGATAGCGCAGTCTCTTTCCCTATTCATTTCATCACACAATTCGGTGTGCCATTGGCCAATTAAAAATTCAGAACTATCTTTCAAATTTGCATGATCAGATTTATTATTATTTAATATTAATACTTTTTTACGTTTTGCAACATTTTTATTTTTTTTGCTGCATTTTATGGCACTTTCAGTGTGTGAATAAAAGAGTGAAATATATTTTTGTAGCAGATTAGCTGTTTAAGTATATTATTTTGCGTAGTACTTGGGAAAATGCTGATACTTTTCCAGTTGAGCTGAACGTGTGTAACTATAAAACAAATAAGAGGTAAGACAAAATACACCCGATTTTATACTGCTATATTTAATTGTTTCAAAACCTATTTGCAAACAACTTGTTGGAAGCTGAGTGTTGAAGGAAAAAAGATAATGAATTTAAGAGATGGATTAAACACGGTTGACGTTTAACTGCTTCCCTTACAAATTTTTTTGAAAAAAATTGCAAAAAATCATCACATTTTTTTATTTTATTATTAAATGCAAGGAAACGAAACAGAACAAAATATATAGGTTTTAAGTTGAATTTTTAATTTTTTTACAGGTGTAAAAGCATTTAGTTTTAATATTAGTTTACTATAAGGATTTATCACGGGCAAATAAAAAAAATAAATGTTAGTCGTTGTATGATAGTTTTTGAAACAAGGTACAACACAAAGTGACACCTTACATTCTATACACTGGTATCTGGTCTCTTTTCTTACTGGCTTACCTCTGGAATCTATTTTACGGGAGCACAGAGGCACTGTCTCATTGGATTTGATTTTTTTTTTCTTTTTTTTTTTTTTTTTTTTCAGTAGCTGGAATAATATCTGGGAAATGCCTTGAGGTTATAATCACTATCTGAAAAACCTACCTAATCGCTATCTTGCATCATCGCCATTATTTTACTTTTTTCAAAGCAACTATCATACTTTATACATTACTAATCCACAAGGCCCACGTATACGAGATGATATGGAAAACTTTCAATAAAAGCCGAATATTTCCTTTAATTTCCTCCGGACCGAGTAAAACCGTAATAAAACTAATTGCACTGACAAATTTTCCTTCCCCCGAGTTTTCTCGAGATAATAATTAACTGCAATATTTACGGACCCGGGATAACTCGGGATAATCAGGCAAGCGGTTAAGGCAACAGTTATTTCATTTGCTTTTTATTTCAACTCTTTGTAATGTAAACGTAAAATTTATTTCAGAGCAAATAAGTAACAAAGATTCGAAGACAGCATTGCAAAAGCTCTTCGCAAATTCACCGGAAAAGTTGCATGTGAAAGAAACGATAAGCATAACACTGCATTTACAAAAATGTCTGAAAAAGAGGTGGCGCCATCTATTATAAAACTGGTTAACTAACTAACGAAATTCCGTATATCGCCAATTGGGGCAATACCAAATATTGCATCAGTCATCTAAATTGCACTACATTCAACATAGTAAACTACAGAAAAATTAATAGCATAACTACATTAATACATTATTGGATTTTCACTTACAAACCATTTAAGTAGTTATTAAACCTTTAAGTAGTTATTAAAAGTTCCCACTTAAAAATTGGAATAAGTTATATTTACAATGGAAGCTTTCACTCAAAAACTACATTATTCAGCTAAAGAAGAATAAATATGAATTATATACTACGGATGAGTAATTATTTACTTAAGATACAAAACTTTTATAGAGAACTTTTTTAAAAAAACTAGCTAGCACATATGATACATATTAGATGAACAACATATGAAGCCCTATTTACTGTGTGGAAATCAAACCTTAAATTGAAATCCTCACATTCTTGTTGATTTAGTAGCCCAAAATAATGCCAGTATTATCCAGTTGGCTGAGCAGTTGTGTTTAGGAGAATTACAGTCACACCATTGGTACAACAACTATT